AATGTTTCCCCCTCCAAAGCCACTTCATGCAAACTCCTTGGAGGTTTGAATTTTTGGGAGGAAAGATTGGCTTTAGTTTTGGGAGAGCTGTGCTGGGAACCCTGGTGCTGGCACAGCGATGAATCCCGGAACAGTTTGTGTTGGAAGGCACCAGTTCAAACCGCCTGCCATGGTTAGGGACGCCTTCCACTAGCCCAGGTTGCTCCAAGCCCCATCCAACCTGGCCATGGACACTTCCAGGGATGGGGCAGCTGAAGGATTGCTCTGGAACCAGGCAGGAGCTGAGCAGAGGGTCCATGGCTGATGTCTTTGCAGAGCTCTGTGAAGAGCTCTTACCATCATCATCCCTTTCTGGGGCACTCATCTACCTGGCTGGGAAGCACGAAACCTGGGACTGGGGTGTTGCATATTCCTTGATGTGGAAATTCCCTAATTACTAGCAAGGTTTGGGTAAATAAGAGGCTGAGCCAGCTCTCTGGCTGGGTCAGGGAGGTTTAAACTGCTGGAAGTTGAATTTACCAAAGATGCTGCAGTATCTCAGGATGCTGTCGGTGCATCGAGTGCTTGGTTTGTGCAGGACACCTGGAATGGGGAAGGAATTTCTTCCTCTCCAACCATGTGGCCTTTAGTATAAACAACAGTCACCTTCGGAGGAGGTTTTCTGTTCTCTTGCTCCCTGACTGGAAGGATACATTCCAACATTCATCTCAGAAGGCTTTATCTTATCGTGGAATTCATCTTACAATAAAAACATCTGGGTTTTTGCACATGCTGTTGACTTTTATTTGGTTTATGGACCCATAACTCTTGGGCTCCTGGTTTTATATTGTGTGGGATGGATTGGTGCAGCCTCCAGCCAAGAACCTTAACGCGCTTGGTAGCTGTGTGAGGTTTAATGACTGTATCTTAATTTAAATAAGATAATCTTGGCTTTTGCAAAGGAGCTGAGGCACCTGGAGGAATGTCATTTAGCACAGAACAGGGAGCTGAACTAAGAGAAATCATCTCCTACCTGGGTGTCTCTCCCTGTGGCAGAGCTGCTCCTCTTACCCTCATGGCACACAGGATTTGGGGGTTGTAACTCAGCCAGGTCCAGGCTTTTAAACGTCTCAGAAGAAAAATAATCCAGCAGCAGCATGTGCCCCAAAGGCTGTTGCCAGTTCAGGCAGTTCCATACACAACTGCATTTATCCAATGGTGGAATCACCAACCCTGGAAGTGTTCAAAAACCATGTGGATGTGGCACTTGGGGATGTAGTTTAGTGGTGGCCTTGGCAGTGCTGGACTTGATGATCATAAATATCTTTTCCGACCTTAATGATTCCGTGATTCTTTGATTTTCCAGCCTCATTCTTTCCTCCTCAGAGCCAAACCCAAGTTTCAGGGCAGTGGTGGCTGTTGGGATGAAGGACTTGGCTGAGCTGGGTCCCCACGAGTTCCCCACTCACAGGATTCTTGTTCCCTGCAGGTAAACGGCCACCTGGACTACATGAAGCAGATGGACACGATCCTAAAAGCTGTGGGCATTAAAACCAAGGAATACCAGCCAGTAGAGAAGGGCAGTGGCAGTCTTTTCCCCCCTCTAGCCAAGGAATCTCTGCGGGAAGCAGGCAGCAAGGCTCGGGGAGAGGAAAACACCAGGAAAGAGGAGGATGAGGCTGGGGGTGAGGCTCTCCCAGCCAGCTGTGCTCACCGACGGGATTCCTCCAGCTCTCTCCTGGGAGAACCCTCTCTGCCCTGCCTGAACTGCTCCCACAGCAGGGACAGCAAGGACCAGGCAGCAGAAGAAGGAGCAAATTAGAGCAGAGCTGCTTAGCCAGCACTAAAACCGCTGTCACAGCACCAGCTGTGACACCGGGATTCCCCAGGGACAGAGCCGGCCGGAGCTGGAGCTGCAGTTTCCAGCCCCTCAAGTGAACCTGGAGGGTGGCACTGGTTTGGCACTAGATCAAAGCATTCAGAGCAGCTGCCAACAGCGGCTCCCACGGACAAAAGAGGGATGGTTCCTGCCTGTATCTGCACTGCTCCTCAGGAATCCGGGACAGATCCCCATCCAAATCCTTGCAGGAAGCAGCTGTTCCCCCTCAGCACTGTGCCCCTATAACTGAAAAGCAAATGGCTCTGAGGGGATTTTAATCATATCACAGAGGGGGGCTCATCACTAGGAAATTAAAAGCGTTTTTCCACTGGAGATTGGTTTGGTGTGTGGATTTCAGGTGTGTTGAGGGCTCTGCCTGCCCCACTTTGGGCAGATCAGTGTCCACACTTCAGCTATGCTGGCTGGGGAGGAGAAAGGCTCGGGCTGCCAGGGCACTTTCCAATCTCCAAAACTGTTTTCCTGTCTCCAGGTTGATGGCAATGAGTGTTGGAGGGCCCGTTCCTGTTAAAAACACATTTGGGACCCTGGGTGACAGCAGCAGGAAAACTGATGGCTTATGAAACTTCCAGGCTCTCCAAGCCCAGCAACCCAGTGACACTTTCCTTTTGAGTCACACACACATCTCCAGCCTTAAAAGCCCCCTTTATTTTTAATTGGCTTAAAATAAAACCCATACTTGGCATAGGATAAACATGAATCTGTTTCATTTCTACCTCCTTCCATAAAAGTGAATTGGTTCCACTCTCTTCTCCCCAGTCTCAGAGCAGAGGAAAGGACACAGCTTTACATCCCCTGCTAGCAGAGCTCCCAAATCGTGTGGGACTGATCCACATCTTCCATAAAAGCTCGTTTTCTGTCCTGTTTTTCTGCTAAGCCCAGGAAAACGCATCTGGCAGGGGCGTGACAAGTGGATGCCTCTGCTCTGAGAACACCTCTGGGGTTTTCTACTTTGCCACAAGTGTGATGGTATAAACACCTCCCACCTCTGATCTGGGAGGTCTCATTGACTCAGAAGGGGAAGGAGTGCAATTGCACCTTCCAATTTCGGTTCACGGAGGGTCTTCCTCCTGCCTCCCTGATCCAGCACCCCCTCTCCTTCCTTCACCAGGCTCCCTGCAAACCTTACCTGCAGATTATTTCTCACGGAGTCAAAGACATGGTTGGTTTTGGGGATGATGCCATAACACAGCAAAGCACAACGGTTTGGGTTCAGTGCCTGGTGTTTCCTCTCCCCAAATCCAACATCCAGGGGGGCTCAGACCTTCTCAGCTCCTTTCTGGAGCAGTGATGGGAGACATCTCTTGAGACAGGCCACAGGATCCCACGTGCTGGGGCTGTTTGCCCGGTCAGTGTTGATGCTGCTGGCTGCAGGGAAAGAATGGGATTTCTCCACTCATCCAAGGCTTTGTCTACAAGCAAACACCTAATTATTACAGTCTTGGTGAGACAGTAATGAACTATTGCTTTTGAACATTTGGCTTGAAGATATCTCTCTCTCTCTCTCTCTCTGTCCATCTCCCAAGGCTAATTTAGTACCTAACAGATTTCCAGACTCCATCGTGCATTTTCCTACTCCTTTTTAATAGGAGTTGTAGTCAAAGTGTGGCTTTATATAAAGCTGTTTTGTGGGAAGATGCACATATTGATCTCTATGCTTGACACCAGCCCCAGGCTCTCTGTCCCCCCATCCAGGGGAAAATGTATTGAACAGTTTGAGGTTTGAACCTGATGAACCCTCAGTGTGTCCCAGTCGCTCATCCCTGACTGCTGGGCCAGTGCCGGCTCCCAGGGGGTACAAAGTACCAAGTAAATGTCAAGTTGGTCATAAAAACTCTTGTTCAGTTCTGGAACATCCATGGGCAACGTGGAAAGAAAACTAGTGAGATTTGCTTGGAGCGTGGCTGTTTCTTCCAGCATTCCATATCCAGGGGATGCTCTGTGTCTGTTTGGATACTGGTGAGTTCCAGGAGCACAGTCAAACTCGTTAATGGGAGCTCAGAATTAGGCAGAAGGCTTGGAGGGGAGGGGTTCAGGGAGGGCACAGCAGCCAACTGTCAGCCCAGCTCTGGAGCCCAAAGGCACTTGAGGAAGAATTTACTAAAATCATTTGTTTTATTGATTATTTTAAGAGCCCACTTGCCACATTAGTCACTGTTCTCTCTGCTTATGGCTATGGTGGGGGTGGGCTGGGTGGAGGCGGCCTGGAATTGTCATTTAAAAGACAGTATTTCTTTAGATTCCTATTTGAAAGGGGGGGAGAGTGTATTTTCTAATTGCATCATCTAAAAATTAACGGATTGTCAGAGAGAAGTGTGGTGGTCCTGTGCCAAGAATGGGAAGCTGTAGGATGGAGCTGTAAGAGGCACTGATCCCATTACTACTGTCACACAACCCACAAAGCCATGACGAGTCACATCCCCACACCCCCACAGAACATCCAAAAATCAGTGTTGGACATTCTGCACCCAATTGAACCCCCACAGTGCAGCTCTCCATGATTAAACACGATGGTTTCACTGGGCTGTAACTCACTGCTTAACAGGAAACCGAGACAGACATGCTCCAAGTCAGGAAAGGAAACGCAGCTCCAAGAAGATGTGATGTTCCATGGGCTGAAGCAGCTCCAAACCTCTTATCCATGAGTCATGGGATGTGTTTCCATCACTCCTCTCAGTGCAGTAGGTGAAATGGAGGTGATCCATGTGTGAAAACTGAAAACCAAGCTTTGGTTTAAGTTTAGGGGGACAGATGATCCGGAATCCAAGGTTCAAACTAACCAGAGATGGAAAGAATCTTAGAATTACAGAATCACAAAATATGCTGAGTTGGAAGGGACCCACAAGGATCATCGAATCCTGGCCCCCTTGGGATACCCCAAGAATCCCACCACGTGCCTGAGAGTGTTGTCCAAAGGCCACAAGAAAGGTGAGGGACTGGTGCCAGTGAGCAAAGGAGGGATGGAAGAGAGAGAAACAAGGCAGTGACACGTGGCTGAACCTACCCACAGCAGTGCCCCTCCACAAGCTGCGCGATGCACTGGAAGAGGGAATTGGAGCAGCAGCACGTGGGCTGTTTGTGTGGGGCTGAGGGATCCTTCCCAGCACATGGAGCTCTGTGACCCCACTCAGGCCACGGGGGTGCCGAGCTGCCCAACCTGCGGCTCCGTGTCCGGAGGCTCTGCGTCCCACAGGCTGATAGAGGGGGCGTGGGAGGTCAGGGGGGCTGGCAGCAGGTTGGGATCATTCCCCAGCGCCCCAGAGTCAACTGAGTCAGTCTCAGCCTGCAAGGTGAGGATGTTCTTGAGGGACGTGGCGGCACGAGCTCCGCTGTTGGAGTTCCTCATGGAGAAGGATATGGCGTTGGGCCGGGGCTCCCCTGAGCGCCGGCAGCAGGGCAGGAATTTGCCCATGGCTCTCTTGAAGTCCCTCATGAAGAGTGGGTAGATGATGGGGTTCATGGTGCTGTTGCAGTATCCCAGCCAGGTGAGCATGTCGAAGAATCCGGCTGGGACACAGCCACAGACAGCCTGGGGGGGCACAGCAGGGATTAGCAGTGTCTCCCACCTCAGCCCCTGTCCAGAGCAGTTTCCCAGGCACACCAACATTCCCCTTTCAAAGGAAACCTCCAAATCCCTTTTGAAGGGTTTTTCCTTGCTGTTGGTCCCTGGGGAAGTTGCATCTTTGCTCCCAGAGGTGTTCCAGCGAGACCTTCAGATTGCACCCAGCTGGATCTCGAGTGAAAAGCTTTTGAAAACCCAACACAAAACCCCTACAGGTTCTTACCTGCGTCACATTGGTAATGAAGAAGGGGAGCCAGGCCACGAAGAACATGCCCAGGAGAATGCCCAGGGTCAGACTGGCCTTCAGTGCCTTCTTGCTGTGCTTGTTGGTGAACCTCCTGCTCTCACTGCCGGCCATGGGCTGGCTTGGGACACAGGGAATCTGTAGCAGGAGACAGGGAATGGTGATGAGCCTCCCCAGACTGGAGCTGCCAGCACCAGTGCCAGCCTCTGCTGAAGAAAAGTGAGGTTAGGTGCTCCAAATCCTGAAAAAACCCTGCCATTAATTCCCTTCTCCAAGAGACAGGAGCAGGGCATGCACCACAGGCCCTGAACTGCAAATTAGGGAGAGGAAACAATAGAAACCCTCAACATTACCTTATTTTTTTTACTGTAAAATAGGAGGTTCTCACTAGGCTTTTCTTTATAGAAAAAACCAGCTCACGTTTTGGTGAAGACAAAGCCCTAAAGAGGCAGCTCCAGCTGCTGATTACAGCAACAAACTAACTACGTTTATAAAAGCAGGATGTGAAACATTTCAGCCTACAAACACCATAACTCAGCCCTCCATCCCCCCCGCAATCTAAAATGAACTGATTATCTCAGCCCTCCACTGTAATCAAACGATGCTCCTTTGCCACTCAGCTTCCTGCCCAAAAAGAGAGCAAAAATCTGGTTAAAAGATGAAATTTGAGGGTTCCCTGGCTGACACCTTGTTTTCAGCCAATTTGGGGCTCCAAGAAACCTTTTGGGCCACTTGCCTTGGCTGAAAGACAGGTGGTGGATGCTGGTTTTCCACAACATGACAAAGCCCCTGAGCATCCCCTGATCCCCTGAGTGTGTTTGTGGGCTCCAAAAACCTGATATCCAGGGAGAAAATAAACACTTTATGATATTGTCTGTGTATTCTTTGATTGTCCTTTTCCTTTTGACCGTTTGGTGCATCTTATCACATGTGGGAGAGCTGGGCAGAGTCCTGTCTCTGCTCTTAGAGTGAACAAACTAAATCAAGGTATTTAAAGACAATTAAGTTTGCCTTTTCCCTGTAGGATATGTGGTCAATAAAGCCTATTACAGGGAATTAGAGCTGAAGAAATACAAACAAGTGCAGCCACGTTTTGGTTATAAAACCCACACATGAAACCAGTGATTGCACAAGGAGGGGTTTGGCAGTTCCCGTTAACCAGGTAACAAAAATAGAAGCTTCTGTTCAAAATAAGATGCTCTCCAGAATTTGGCATTTGCTATTAGTTGAAATCCTTCTCCCCCATATGTCTCACACCCACGACAGCCAAGATTTACAAGTGGAAAATCAGATATAAGATTAAAACCCTCAGGGATGATGCCAGCCAAGAGGGGGGCTAAAGTGCCTTTATTTTGCATCGTTGAGCATTTTTGCCTGAATCTTATAATTTCTCTGCTTCTGCTCATACTGTTTGTGTGCTCCAGAGCAGCTCTCCATTGGTGGGACAGACACAGGGCACTTCAGAGGGCGTCAGCAAGGTGGATGTTGCCCAAAATCTCCCTCCCTGTGGTCTAGTTGCCAAAGCCAGCTCTGGTTCTAAGGCTGTCCAGAAGGCACAAACACCCCAGGCACCCAAACTGTGCAAAAAACAAGGTCTGCAAAAAACAAGGTCCCTGCGGACACCTTACCTGTGGCATGGTGTCATCAGTAGTGGTGGTGGTGGCCACGTTGGAGGTGAGGGAAGCCACCTGCACCGCCTGCTTGCGGGCAGCCAGGAGGATGCGGCAGTAGGTGAAGGAGATGGCAGCAGATGGGAGGAAGAAGGTGAGGCAAGAGGCGACCAGGGCGTACGGCAAACTGACCACCAGCCGGCACTGGTCTTCGTCCCCCCACGAGGTGACATTCAGGGAGAGCTTCTCGAACTCCAGCTCGTGCCATCCCATCTTGATGGGCAGGAAGGAGGCCAGAGCAGCCACGGTCCAGGTGGCCAGGATGAGCCAGAGGGCCCTGCAGGAGGTCATGCGCAGCTTGTACTTGAGCGGGGAGATGATGAGCAGGTACCGGTCCAGGCTGATGATGCAGAGGTTGAGGATAGAGGCACTGCAGCACATGACGTCAAAGGAGGCCCAGAGGGAGCAGAAGTCCCCCTGCAGCACCCAGCGCCCATAGAGCTGGTTGAGCATGGCTGGGGGCATCACCACCAGCCCCACCATAAGGTCCGACATGAACAGGGACACCAGGAAGTAGTTGGAGGTGTTGCGGAGGGAGCGCTGAGTGACGATGAGGAGGATGAGGAGGAAGTTCCCCACCGTGGTCAGCAGGATGATGAAGCACAGGAAAGCGGCCACCCAGCTGCTCCCCACGAGCAACGAGTGCTCCCCCAGCATGCTGGAATTGGGGGCCCCCAGGTCACCCTCCATGGGAGCTTTGGGGTTGGGGGGACCTTCTCTGGCGTGACCTGTGCTACGTGATCATCGCCAGAGCTGGATCCAGGGGAAGAACGACCACCTGTCTGCTCTATGTCTGTCCTCCTCTCTCCTCTCCTTTCCTCCTCCTCCTCTCCCTCTCCTCCTCGTCGTCTCCCTCTCTTCCCCTGCTCTCTCTCTTCACTGGCACTCAGGGCAGAGTGACATTCCCAGGAGCCGATCAGCAGAAGCAAGGTTCCCTCCCCGTTACTCACAGCCAGGCAGTGCCTCGTCCCTGCAAATGCCCCTGCTCTGGGATGTCCCTGGATGCTGCTGCTGGATGCTGGGGATGTGTTGGATGGCAGGATACTCGAGATGCCAGGGATGGCAGGATGTTATGGATTCTCTGATGCTCTGGATGCACTGGACCAGGGAATAACAAGCCCCTGGGATGCTCTGGATACTCCAGATGCTCTGCACTCAGGATACTTCAGATGCTGGGGATGCTCTGGATCCCAGGATACTCCAGATGCCAGGGATGCTCCGTACCCAGGATACCTGGATGTTGGGGATGATCTGGACTCCAGGACGCCACAGATACTGGGGATGCTCCAGCCCCCCGAGGCTCAGCTCTTACCCCCCCAGCTGGGCTTGGCTCCCTGCAGAGCTCTCTCCCCGGGGCCTCCCGAGGTCCTCCGTGCCCGGGTGCTGCTGGTGCTGCAGCCAGAGCCGGCGAGGGGAGGCAGAGCAGCTTGAGGCGAGGACCGGGATGCTCCCAGCCCAGCTCACTCGGCAGGAGGAAGATCCGGAGTGTGGGAAGGGTTCTCTCCCGCGGCAGAGGTTCGTCCAGCCTGCAGGGTGTGTGTGTGAGTGTGTGTGAGTGTGTGCAGGTGCCAGCCAGACTTCCACCTGCTGCTCTGCAATGCACAGGAAAGGATGCAGAAATGCTGATTCCAAGGAGGTGGGGCTGGAAAGGGAGAGGAGGAGATGAAATGAAACGCTAATTAAAACAGGGATCTGGGCTAAACTACACAAAGTGCCAGCCCGAGAGTTCTCTTTTTTGCCTTAAAGAAACAGCCCTGTTCTCTGCTTTCCCTGCCATGTCTGCCATTCCTGCCATCCTGCCATCTGTGCCAGCACTGGAGCCCCCATGTTCACCTGGCAGCTAGGCCAGCAGGTCAGTGGCCAAGCCCAAGTGCCAGGCTCCATCCTCTGCTTGATCAGCAGCTCCTAGTGTCAGGCTCCATCCTCCACATTGGGTAATAAAAAGCAAAATTTTGCAAAACCAAATAAAAAAAAAATCAACAAAACCTGCACATGAGGCCTCAGGAAGCAAGTAGAGGCATCACAAAACTGGATGACATTCCCACAATCTGCAGCCAGGAACGGAGGGGCAGAGCCAAGGGGAAAGGCTGCCCTGGTGCTGGGACAGCCAGAGGGCTGGCCCCTCTGCTTCAGGGTTTTTTGGGCTGACCTTGGGTAGCCCAGATCCTTATCTGAGGGACAATCCTGCATGCATCCACGGCAACTTGCCCTTTGGCAAGTGGAAGGCAACATGTGAGAGTACCCAGTGGGTCCTGCTGGTGGCTCCAGATCAGGAAACACCCCTGAGTCTCCAAGTGCCATCAGTATCCTGTGCTACCACCTCCACACATCAGAGCCAACACCTTGGGGTGCTGTGAAGGGATTGATTGGGATTTTTTAATTACCCAGCTGCCCAAAGGTGGGTTTTTCCCAACAAATATCTGTGATTTCTGTTGGGGGTTGACCAGAGCTGAGGGCACTGGCTCCAGCACAAACCAGAGCCGTATGTGTGTCTCTGCTGGGCCCCTGGCACCCACCCCTGTGCTCACAGGGCCAGGCACTGCCAGCTGCTGCCCTCCCCAAGACACCACCAAAGCTTTCCTTAACATGCTTCCTTTGGGAAATTGTGCTGCAGATGTGTGGGGAGTGCCAGTTGTGCATCACACACACCCCCTCACCCCATCTCACTGCACCCCAGTGCTGTCTGTGCTGCCCTGTCACCCACTCAAGGACAGAAATCAGTCTCTTTAGCAAGTCCTACTTTTCTAATCACCTTTTCAACAACTTTGTCATATTTTTCCCAGTGGCTGAACAAGCATTTCAGGCCCGGAAACCACCTCTGAGCAAAGGATGGGGGAGATGCAAGGCAGGGTTCACCCTGCACAGAGACAAAGCCCATACACACCCCGTGCCAAAGTGCTCTCTGAGAAACAGTTGCTGTCACTGGTACCAAGAAAAGCTCTGCCCTCCTTCTGCTTGCCCAGGACGCTCTCCTTGGATGCTCCCAGCCAAACCTCCCCAGCCACCTCTGCATCCCTGTGTCCTGGCAGGGATCCCAGGGCAGAGGAGCACACGCAACACTCTGATTGCAGCAGGAGGTTTCTTTGGAAAAGCATTTGCACCAGGAAACCCTCACTTCCTCAGCCCATCTGTTGCTGGGAGAAGAGAGAAACCCCACCCTCAGCCCACCCTGCAGCAGCATCCCCAGGCAGGATAAGTGAAGGCAGCAGGACAGATTTATCCCAGCTGGATCCATGCTGGTGCTCAGTGAGGAAGTGATGCCAGAGGGCAAGTCCAGGCTTCCTTCTCAGACTGGCTGCACCCCAACTTTAGGAGCATCTCAGTTTGCCTCCAGAGCTTTTGCTTCTGAGAAGGGGATTGGAATCACAGAATGGTTTGGGTTGGAAGGGACCTTAAACCCCATCCCATTCCATGGGCAGGTACACCTTTCACTACATCAGGTTGTTCCAAGTCCTGTCCAACCTGGCCTTGGACACTCCCAGGGATGGGGCAACCACAGTTTCTCAGGGCAATCTGTGCCTAACCTTTCAGGAGTGTTTCCTCCTCAAATGGGAGGTTTTCTGCTCCTGGTTTGGATGTGCTTGCTGGGGAAGTGAATCTGAACTCATTGAAGCAAAATGGGTTTTTAAAAACCTGCCTTGAAATGAGGTCCAAATCCTACCATTATCCCTGCAAAAGCTTCTCCACGCCAGCGGCTTTCCTGGCCTGTCTGTGCTTTCTCCCTGTGCTACATTTCTAGACACATCTGCAGGGATCATGGCTTCCACCGGCTCTGCTCTCCAGTACCACTAACAGGGAAAGCAAAACCAGATACCCAAGTGTCAACATGGCAAAACACAAAGGGCTGGTGAGACAGAGAGAGTCAAACTGGGATGCTGAGAGACATCAGTGAGGACATCCAGGCAGTCCAGGGATTAATGCAGCAGCCTCATTCCGTCCTTTTAACTGGGATGGTCCCTAAGTTTGATTTTGGGCAGAGCCTGGCTAACTACCTTGAAAAGATTTGTGTTTTCCTCTGCACAACAGTCCATCACTGCCTACCTTTGCTGAAGCTCAGCTTGTGTTGAAAGGAGGTGGAGACATCCCATTTCAAACACCTTGGACTGCAGCTCCCGGAGTTCACAGGAACAGCCCCCTGCTAAATCCAGCCTGTTTCCACTGTACACTAGTAAAAGGCCACATGATCGTGCTCAGTGACCGCCACGGGTTTCTCCACCTCTTCCTGGCTCTTCCTTGGGAAGACACTTCACAGCATGAAAACATTATGTTAACAGACAGGACACCTCCAGCCCTGCCAAGGTCCTTCCTGTTTAGCCTGTCACTGTAGCATTTGCCACCTTAATGCAAACCCTCTCCCACTTCCCAAAGTTCAGAGAGCTGCTTTCCAAACCTGTGCAGAGCCCCCAGAGCCTCAACAAGAGGGGCAATAAGAGCTGGACTCAAGGAGGGAGGAAATAAGAGCGGCGCTCAAAGAGAGGCAATAAGAGCTGGCTGCTGGCACAGCACAGCCTCTGGCCCCTCTGGGAGATGATGAGACCTTCCCCAAGGTCAGACTCAGACCAGGGAGCATCATTGATTGTTTCTGAGGGCACATCCACACTGGCCTGGCATCAGTGGGACCAGAGGTTTGCGAGGGTGCTCAGGGAATGCTTGATCCAAACCCCTTTGGGAAAGAGGCCACTGGTTTCAGCCAAGGCACCCAGCCCTTCCTCACCCACAGAGGTGGGTCCAGCCCATGTCCAAGTTCTCCTTCATCTGCTCCAGAAGAGCTCCCCCAGGTCCTGAACATCTGGATGAAACACGCTGGATCAAGACTGTCACCTAGTGGCAACAGAGCTGGTGAAGGTTGTGTGAGCCCACAGATCCCACGCACTTCCCACACAAGTGGGACCTGACAGCCTGAAAACCTCCCGACTGCAGCGACACCACGCCTGGGCCACAGCTGACGTGCAGTTCCCCGTGCCCACACGCACAACACATGCTGAAGATTTGGGGTCAGTTTTCCTTTCAGCAGCTCTCCCTCCTCCTCCCAAATGGAATGCAGCAGAAAGCTGCAGGAGCCACGGTTCTGCCTTGGCCTGGCCCCTCCTGTCTGTCCTGGCTGGTGTCCTGGTGTCAGCACTGCCAAAAACCAGACAAGCATCAGAGCACTGAGCAGTGGAAGTCAGAACTAATTTATTTAAGAAAAAAAACCAAAACAAAACAAAACTCATCAAAAGGGGGGGGAGGCATCAATTACAAGCTCTGGAAGCTCTTGTCAGGACAGCGCCAAAGAATCAGCATTATACAACAGAGAGAGAGGGGCAGCAGGAGGGGCACAGGGCCCACCCTGAGCCTCCCCAGCCCTGCCAGCACAGGGACATCCCAGCCCTTGGGCCCCTTTCTCCCTCCATCACCATTAAAAGTGCAGCAAGGAGAGGGGGTACAGGGCTGGCTCCTACCCAAACTCCCCCTGGCTCTTGGCTTTCCCCTGCAGCCATGAAATGTGAAGCCTCAGCACTCATGGCATGATCCAGGTCCCTCATCCCCAAGAAGCCATGTGGTGGCCCTGGGGACAGCAAGGTAAGGGCTGTCACCACCACAGTACCCAGTCACCTCCCACACACAGCCCCAGAGGCACATCCTGGGGCAAAACACTCCCCAAGAGCTGCCCGATACAAAGTGTTAGGGTTAGATTAGTCCAGATCCAGCAGGTGCCAGGAGGAACAGTGTGTCCACGCTGAGCCTACATGGCAGGGAGGGAGAGAGGAGGAAGAAGGGATGCTGCTGGTCCCACTACCCCAGGAGAGATGTGCATCTCCTGTGGGACTGTGGAGAGGCTGCATCCCTTCTTCCTCCACCCTAGGCAGGAGGCATTAGAAGAGAAAACCCCAGAAGGGCTCCACACAGTTTTGGAACCTGTGGACAGCCCTGGGAGCCCCACTCAGCCCCTGCTCTCAGCCAAACTGCCCCATCCACACTCCCGCTCCTCTCAATATATTATTACTATGATGTGCAAGTAGTTTTGCATCAGAAAACACTGAGCCCTCGTGTCCCACTCAGCAGCTCCAGCCTGCCTGTGCCTTGAAACATTCTTCCAGCGCCGGGGTGTCGGGGAGCAAAGCGTGAGGGCAGCAATTAGACAGGAAAGACTCCACCCCACCCCCCCTCCCCAAACCCTCTCCCTCTCACACCCCCCTGCCAGGACAGTCCGCACAGGCCAGGTCACTCCTCGCCCTCCTCCTCATGGTGGTGGTGGCTGGAGGCAGGAGGTTCCTCCACCTCCTGCTGGTGGTGGGTGTAGTGGTGGGGGCCAGGACCCTCGGCAGGCATATTCTCCTCAGCGTTCAGGTAGACGTTGAACAGGGCTCCTTCGTGGCTTGGCTCCTTCCCACACGCCTGGCAGCTGCAGTGCAGGATCTTCTCCACCAGCTTGTCCACTCTGGGGATCTCCTCATTTCCTGGACAGTCCAGTGTCACCTGGGCAGCGGGACAAGGACACAGTGAGTGTGGAGGCTCCCATCCTGAGGAGGGAGGTCTGACCTGCCCCGTGCCCTGAAGATTTGGGGTGTTTTAAGCCAGAAGTGATGGCTTTCTATCCATAGAAACCA